CGGTGCCCTAGCTTGACATCAAACCTGCTTTGATGGTTCTACCGGTATTCAGTGTCTCAGCTTATCAGATTCCCACTTATGATTTTAGAGCTGATGTCGTGCCCTTGCGACCTTTTGTAGACTGTGCATTGGGGATGGACCGCACTAGTTCGTACTAGACTCCACTCATCTGCTTTTGCATCCTAAGCCAACACTTATTACTCTGCGGCATTTATGGTTATGGCTGTGACATCCTACTGAGTCGAGTCATTTCATAGAGTCGAGTTGAGTCGGGCCAAACCAACCCGGTTGGGGTAGAATGGGATTATAAGTGGACTTATATAAATTGACTTTACTGATTGAGAGAAAAGATTTTTCAAAGCATATGAGGAATGAGGTTATCTTGCATTAAAAGACCAAGCTTGGCGTCTTAAGTAGTTACCTGTTGACAATTGACAAGAGGTACCATTTAGGATAGTTTCACATAAAAATTTCATTTGATATTGAATGCCTACCCGTAATAACCATTTCACTTTTCCATTTCATCTTTATCTTCATCTTCTTCATCTCTTCCTTTCCCATCCATTTTCATGGCTAGTTAAGCCTTACTTCAACTTCTCTTCTCTCCAAGTAAAGTAAACTTCTTGAAGTTCATATTGATATCATTTGGTGCTATTTTTAGAATATATCATAAGCAATTCTTATTTAATAGGTGAAAGTGAGTTCAAAGGTAGTAGAAAGGAAGTTAAGAAGAACTCAAGGCTTTTTGAGGTAAGGTTGATATCTCTTTTCATTTTACCATTTTCTTTGCATGAGAATTTGTGTGTGTGTTGATAATTGAGACAATCTATTGCTTTCATGTTGAGTGGGAGGACTGGTAATGGTGAGAGGAAAACAGGGGAGAATTGAATAATGAAGTAAATAGTGAGTTTTATGCTTGAAAACAGTTGCTTGGAAATTTTAACATTGGGTTATTTGTTCTCTTTGTTATAGAAGCGTTATTTGTTCCTCTATTGTTAGCTTTACATGGGTTTTTGAATCATCCAAATCGGAGTTGTATATGAGAGATATGACAAAAGAGTACAGACTTGTGCAGGCTAGAAAAACGCGACGCGGCTCGCGCGAATTATGCATGACGAGCTCGCGGACTGTGCCTGAAACTCACTGACTCTCATTTTTGCACTTTTACGCGCTCGCAACTTTCATTTTGGCGCCGCTCCGACTTCACCTGAACTCTCTGACTCTCATTTGGTGCTTTAACCTGGGCTCGCGACTTTGCACTGCGCGGCTCACGACTTTGTGGACCCGAGAAACACTGGACTCTCATTTTTGCACTTCTCGCGCTCGCGACTTTTTGCACTACGCGCTCGCGACCTTCACCTGGAAACTCACTGACCTTCAGGTGCTGCTTACGCCGCTCGCGACTTTTGCAAGGCGACAGCTCAGCGACTTGTGTTTTTCATGCACTTTTGGACTTTCTTTTTTCTATGCAATTGGATTCTTTGCTCAACTTGGTATGCCTCCAATCATTTTAACAACAAAAATACAACTTTAGAACATGATATCCAAAACAACATTTGCAAGGCCATTAACAAATGATTTGTGTGGGAATCAAATAAACATTAATGATTTATGAAGTTATGGAACTATGAAATATGAATGTTTGTGTTATATTATTGACATACCAACATTAGGGCTCCATTGAGGTTTAGAGGAAACTACTTAGATAGGCTATGTCGCGACCATTAGGATAGCAAGATCTGCCACCCCATTACGTTTGGATACTCCGGCTTACAGGTCGTTGAGTGGATATGATTTATATATGGGCCATAGCAGAGCCAAGTATACAGTATTCATCCAGTTTATATAGTTTTTCTTATCACTTCGGTTTCACTATAACCTTATGGAGCCATACAAATATCTTGACATAATACTGCATGAATATAATAAAGAGAAAGAAAGACCATCAAAGTAAACTGAACATATCATGAAATGTGTGCTTATCTGTACTATATGTGTTTACATGGTTCTGTTTACACATGTATGTGTTTATTTGTTTATTTTATGTTGAGATATCCACTAAGCTTTATTTGCTCAGCGAGTTACCTGTTTAACTCGCAGGTTTTGAGACTGGTCCGTACCTGTTTAACTCGCAGGTTTTGAGATTGGACCGTAGAGAGTCAGCCTGCAACTGCTGCAGTTCATCTGTAGAAGACTCAGTATTCAGGGTAGCTACTCATTTGGATATGTATTTTTTTGTCTACCCTTTTTATGGCATGTACAGGTACAGGGCACACAGTTGGGCCCATTTCATTTTGTAAACTAGTATCATGTTTTGTAAATTTAAATTACATTTATTGTAAACAACATCAGCATTGATATTATATTCCAATATTACATTATGAGTTCAGCATGACCAGGTATAAAGTCAACAGTTTGGTAGCGTCTCGGTTCGGTTCAATTCGGGTAAACGTTAAAACCGGGAAGGGATGTTAACAAATTTTGGTTTTATCAGGATCCCTTATGGTTAGTTTCCCCGGGCTTTGCATGCATTAGTCAGTATAGTGCTACATGCCATGACTACCCTGATTGAACTAAGCAGTGTTATTCTTTTAGGAGGGAGGATGTCTCAGGAAGGTGAGAGTGAGCACACGGCCTCAGAGCAGTGGAGGGTGAGGCTCAGTAGCACCAGGTCAAGCCAGAGGCATTGGAGGGCTAGGCTCCAATAGGCACCAGGTCAAGAGGTGTTGTTAAAGCAAACTTGCAGATACCTTTTAGACAGATTGCAGGGGTGATACCTTCAAGCACATAGTAGTAGAAAGAGAAAGAAAGCCCCACTTAGAGAAGCTTCGGAATTATGGGGCGAAAGAATTCAGTGCTAACAAGGATGAAGTCCAGAAATTAGCTGACAGTATTGGTTTAGATGGGACAAAATCGAGGTTCTGGAAAACAAATTAACAATGTACACCAGAGGGACAAGTTGGTTTGTGCCACCATCATTGATCATAGATTGAGGCATTATACATGGTGGACTTACTGTTCAGCAGCGCGGTATCACAGAGCAGTGGTACATGGGGCAATTCTTCTTGGATGAATTTCAAGAAAAAGTTTCATCACGGAGGGCTGCTTACCTAGATGCGAGAAGGAAAGAATTCTTATACCTGAGGCAGAACAGAATGTCAGTTTCAGAATACGAAAGAGAATTCACCAGGCTCAGCAGGTACGGTAAGGGGATAGTGGCTACAGAGGCCGAAAGGTGTAAAAAGTTTCAGGAAGGCCTGAATGATGAGATTCAGATGGGAGTGGTACCTTCCAGATTCAGAGAGTTCTCAGCTTTGGTAGAGGCAGCTCAGGAGATAGAGCGAATTCAGGTCAGTCAGCGTACCAGACGCCAGCTGTCTCAGCAGAGGAGAGACCAAACTCAGAGTGCACCCAGTGCATATCAGTCAGAAAGGCAAAGAGATTCGATACGGTGCTAGTATTCAGCTAGTTCTAGACTTTCCTTTCGCCAAGCCATGCTGAGGGGTTCGCATTAAACGCAGATGCGCGCTATGGTATCAGTTGTGTTGCTAGTTCTTGCTGGAGTAGTCGACGTTTTCAGGCTTAGAGAATTGGTAGTAGGCACCAGTAGAGGCATGCAGAGTAAGCCGCGTATATACTTTTCCCACCTTGTGATCATTGAAATGGCATGAACGGGCATGGTGGAGATTTTTGGTGTGCTGGTAAATGTTGGATCGGATATGCGGAGGCATCAGGACCATCAAGTTAAGAGGATGTCCTTAAGAGGGTGCAAAAAAGAGTCCTAACAACAGATTCATAACAGGTATAGTAGATGGTGAGAGCTCCGGAGGGCAGAGACAGCAGTCAGAGACTGTGGACAGACCCGATACAAAGAGGTCCGAGCCAGCAGGTCTATGCGATGCGGAACCCATGGGAAGATGTAGGAAAACTCCAGATTGTCATAGTTGGGTGAGTTTTCTTGGGTAAGCCTCAAAAATTGGGTATTCACAGGCGACTGCAGCCGCTGTTGCCGGCGGCTGCCGTCGCCTTTAAGGGCGGCCACCACCGCAGCGGCCGGGAAAACTGGCTTTTTGAGCTTCAAAATTTGAGTATTCACAGTTGGTTACTAATCCATTTGGAGATGTAGTAAAAACCATACAGTGGTCAAAGGCTGTCCAGTTGTTATTCATGGAAAGGAGTTTCCAAGAGATCTTATGGAGTTGCATTTAGAGAATTTGATGTTATTCTGTTTTATATGTTAGCAAACATTGAGAATATTAATTAACTAATATACATATACATAAAGTTTAGTACAAATTATTTAACTAAACTTTGAGCTTACAGGTTCAAAAGGGCTTTTCTCCAATGACATTACTGTGAGGGTGATAATTACAAGTGATAAAAGTGTCTCCACTTGCACATATAACTCTTGCACAACCAAGCTCCAAGCTTTGCTTCCAAACCATCTGAGTATAATGCAAGCAATCTTTATTTGCAGTACAAGTATTTGTCATATGATTATAGTAACATTTCTCCGCTGCCCATGCGGCCACTGCATCGCCCGGTTTCCAGTCCTTTCCGCTTCCCCAAAATAGATTTTCACAGTAATTATTATTGGAATGGATGAAAGCGCAGTCTTTCCCTCTTTTGCATGCCCAGGTCGACACAAACTTCGCAATCCTGTTGCTCCATTGGAGAGGAGGGAGTCCAAGGTTTGCTCTTTCAATGTTATGGGGTATTAGAAATTGCCCATTTATGCTTTCGCTTGAACTTTTACTAACTAGCAAACGTCTAGACGAGGAAATTTCTTGGACTGGGGCTGAGAAAGAGAGTATTGGCTGGAGAGACAAAAGGAGGAAGGTTCCTATCATCTCCATTGGGATACCATCAGTTTGCGGATAAAGAAGAAGATATTCGCTAGACTGCATTCAGGAACTCCGATATGGATCACTATGAATAATTTTTTAGTCATGCAGTTCGGGTCTCACAAATGACCTACGGAGCGGGTTTTTGCGGTTTTCATGGATCTCATGAACCGCGTGTTTCATTCATATCTGGATCAGTTTGTGGTGGTGTTTATCGATGACATTTTGATCTACTCCAGAGACAGGGTTGAACATGATAAACATTTGCGGATTATACTTCAGACACTAAGGGATGAACAGCTATATGCCAAGATCAGTAAGTGTGAGTTTTCGCTGGAAGAAGTTTCTTTCTTAGGACATGTGGTGTCATCGGAGGGTATCAGAGTGGATCCTATGAAGATTGAAGCTATTGTGGACTGGAGACCACCCAGAAATGTCACAGAAGTTCGAAGTTTTTTGGGTTTAGCCGGTTATTATAGAAGGTTTATAAAGGGATTCTCTATCATTGCATCACCTTTAACAAGATTATTGAAGAAAGCGGTTGTATTCCACTGGGATGATAGATGTCAGCAGAGTTTTGACACTTTGAAGAAAAAGTTAAAAGTGACTGAGCACCGTATTGGTTGACAGGCCAGTTGTCAGGTACCGGAGCTTTTGAGGATTTTACAGTTATGCCTCTGCATACTGGGTTAGGAATGTGCTTACTCATGCAAGACAGAAAAAGTGGTAGCTTATGTCTCCAGGACAGTTTTAAGCCACATGAATTGAATTATCCGACCCATAGGGATTTCAGGAATTGCAGCCATTGTCTAGCATTCAATAGATTATCGGCAGCATTATCTTGGTTACGGTGGAAAAAGTGTTAACATTAACACAATCAATCAGTCAAAAGTTTAAAGTTATTACCGACACAGAAGATTTTTGATTCAAGACAATGGAAGTGGATGCAGATTCTGGCTAATTATTGATTTATGTCTTAATTACCATCCGTGCAAAGCTAATTGTGGTAGGCTGATGCCCTAGCGCAAATCATTGTTTGTTTGAGAGCAATGAGAATTAGTCATGGAGTTGCAACAGCAGGGAATTATATCTAAACACAGATGCAAGTTACAGCCATCTTGGTTCAGTTAAGTTGCGAGGCACAGAAGAAAGATGCAAACAAACAGCACTAATGGGTTTGGAAACAAGTACAGGAAGATCATGGTGGGAAATTCAGTATTGGATAACAGTGGAGTCTTTTCTTATGAAGACAAAAGTTGTGTGTACCACAGATAGGGGAGCTAGACAAAAGATTCTGCATTGAAAGCCATTAACAGTCCATATACAATGCATCCAGGTAGTACCAAGATGTATCAAAGATTTGAAGAAAAAGCTTATTGGTGGCCGGGCATGAAGAAAGATTCAAAAATGTTGTACAAAGATGTTTAAACATGTCAACCAAAGTAAAAAATCATAAACATCAGACTGCCAGCTGGGTTACTTCATTCCCGAATTAACAGATAGACCGAAATATGGAAAAGTGGATCAGATCACGATGGATTTTGTGGTACTGATTACCTCAACGCAGGCAGGAAGCATTGATGCAGTATGGGTGGTCATGGAACGATTAATAAGTCCGCCACACTTATCTATCAGTTCGAGATGGACATATCTCTGGACAACAGTAGCAGACATTTATGTTACTGAAATAGTTCGACTCACATCTGGAAAGTTCATCATCCATTATATCTTGATCGTGATTCCGAAGGCATTACACCTCCAAATTTGGGGTAAACTGCTAGGAAGCATTAGGGACGAAAATTTGCATCTCAGCACTGCATTTCAATCCTCCAAAAACAGATGGCACCATCAGAGAGAGTATCAAATTCTAGAAGACAGTCATGAGATCATGTGTCATAGAATTTAAGGCAGGTTTGGGACAAATAATTGTACCTCTCATGGAAATTTGCCTTACAACACAGCTACCAATCCAAGCATTAAGTGGACAACCATATTGAAGCATGTATGCTAAAACATGGTAGGGACACCTGTGTGTTGGACAGAACTGGATTGAGAGAAAATTTGGGTCCAGATCTTTGGAATTAGTGAGAACAGAAGAGAACTGGAAAGTCTTCAGAAAACGCTGAAGAAGCAAGTGCATCGACAAACAGTCTTATGCTGATATAAGAGGAAAGGATATTGGAGTACTCGGTTTAGATGATAAAGTATTTCTATGCAAAGTAATATCACCTATAGAAAAAAAGATCCTAAGTTTGGACGAAAGGAGATAAAAGCTTAGCCCTAGGCTTCATTGGTCCATACGAGATTAATTGAACGCGTTAGACCATTTAGGAAACTATCGCCTAGCGTTACACTTCAACATATAGAATCGAATCTCATAATGTCCTTTCCCGTATCAATTGTTAAGGGAGATTACATTCGGATCAGGACCATCGCACGTGTTCATCAGCAGAGGAGATTGAAATTCAGCCGGATCTTCACTTATGAAGAAAGGAACCAAGTTCGAGATCTTAGCCAGAAAATTAAGAATTACAACAAGAAAAATAGCATTTGGTATAACAGTATCTTTGAATTTTAGATAATGCGAGAAATGTGAAAATACAAAGGAATCACAACCCCCTTATAACTCCCTTTTCTTTTTGGGTATTAATTCACCATAAACGATTGGATTATGTTATTCAAAACGAATTAGAGGTCCACTGTGACATCCTACCGAGTCGAGTCTTAGCACTGAGTCGAGTCATTTCATAGAGTCGAGTTGAGTCGGGCCAAACCAAACGCGGTTGGGGTAGAATGGGGTTATAAGTGGACTTACTTGATTGAGAGAAAAAGACCAAAGCATATGGGTGAGGATTTATTTGCATTAAAAGACCAAGCTTGGGTCTTAAGTAGTAACCTGTTGACAATTAAGGTACCATTTAGGAAGTTTCACATAAAAATTCATTGATATTTTGATGGCCTACCCGTAATAACCATTTCACTTTCCCATTTAATTAACGCATTTCACTTTCCTCCATTTTCATCTTTATCATTCATATTCTTCTATCCCTTCCCTTTTCTCCAGTCCATTTCAATGGTAGTTAAGCCTTACTTCAAATTTTCTCTATCATATAGCGTAAAGTAACCTTCTTGAAGTTACATAATTAGATATCATTGTACTATTTATATGAATATCATAAGAATATACTTAGTCTATAGGTCGAAGTGAGTATCAAAAAGGTAGATATGAAAAAGGCACAGTTAAAGGAGAACTCAAGCAATAATTTTGCAAAGTAAAGGTTTGATATATCTTCATTTACCATTTTCTTTGCATTGAGAATTTGTGTGGTTGTGATCATGAGACAATTCTATTGCTTTCATGTTGAGTGGGAGGACTCGGAATAATGGTGACGAAAACAGGGGAGGTGAATTGAATAAATGAAGTAAAATAGTGGAGGTTTATGCTGAAACAGGTTTTGCTTAGAAATTTTATCACAGTAACCCTTCATCTTGATTTTGACCCCATTTAATGATGGTGAATTAGAAGTATTATAGAGAGTTATTTGTTCTCTATCGTGTTTAGGGTGTACATGGGGTTTTTGGAATCATAACAAATCGGGACGGTACCTATTGAGCAGAATATGACAAAAAGAGATACAACAGCTGTGGAGGCTTGGAAACGCGACGCGCTTGCGCGCGAATTGCATGACGAGCTCAGCGACTTTGGCATGCAGGCGCTCGCGACTTGTACCCGAGAAACCACACTACTCTTCATTTTGCACTTCTCGCACTCCGCGACTTTACACTACGCATGACTCGCGACTTCACCTGGGAACACTCACTGACCTTTCAGGTGTCTGCTTTACGGCGCTCGCGACTTGTGTTTTCATGCACTTTTGGGGATTCTTTTCTATGCAAATTGGATTCCTTTGCTTCAACTTGTATGCCTCAATTCATTTTACAACAAAAAATAAACATTAGAACATGATATCAAACAACATGCAAGCATTACAAAATGATGTGGAAAATTCAAATAAACCATTATGATTTTATGAAAAGTATGAAACCTATGAATTATGATGTTGTTGTTATATTATTGACATAAGACCAAATTTTAGGCTCCATTGAGGTTAGGTATGGAAACCCCACTTACGATAAGCATATGTCGTGGACACTACCGGATAGCAGATCTGCCACCCCATACAGTTGATTACTCCGCGCTTACAGGCCGTTGAGTGGATATTATTATATATGGGCCATAGCAGCCAAGCAATACAGTATTTCATCCAAGTTCAGTACAGTTTTTTCTTATCACTTCGGGTTTCACTATAACCTATATGGCAGCCATACCAGATATACTTGACATCTAAACCATTTCATAAATCACACAGTATTATAAACAGTACGAAGATGTAATCAAGGTCTATAAGGAAAGGATCATTGCTATAATTGTGCTTATATGTTCTAATATCCTATAATGCAATTCCTACGATTGCTTATTTTCTTATCTTATGTATGGTCGCTTAAGTTGTGTTTTTTTACTTTATATTCAGTTGAGTATCCATGAGGCATAAATTTATCTTGCCCTCAGCGATTACCTGTTTAACTCGCACGGTTTGAGCAATTGTCGACCGTTAGTGGAGAGTCCCGTTTGCATGCAGAACAAATTGCAGATTCATCTATAGAAGACTCAGTTCACTTTCAGGGTAGGCTACTCATGATGTGTATCTTTTGTCTACCCTTTTTATATATGGCAATGTACAGAAGGCCACACAAAGTTGGGCCATTCATTTGACACTAAAGTATCATGTCTAATGTAAATATAAAATTACATTCATTTATTGAAACAAAACATCAGCATGATATTAATATTCAATATACACTATCGGGTCGTCCGCCCAAGACAGGGATATCGAACCAAACAATATTTTAAAGCAACCAGTTGTAGCGCCTCGGTTCGGTTCATCGGGTTAACGGGTGAACCGGGAGAGGGGATGTTACAATGGCAGCCTATCGGTGATGCCATAGTCAAGCAGATGGGCTAGGTGAGGCGCAACGCCGTTTTCACTTATTCTCATAAGACATTCACTTGGTAGGAGGATCACGCTCGGGACTCTAGCTCGATGCTGGTCCCATGGACATTATGAGTTCAGCATGACAGGATATAAAGTCAACCAGTTTGTAGCGCCTCGGTTCGGTTCATTCGGGTTAACGGGTGAACCGGGAAGGGATGTTACAATGGCAGCCTTCGGCTGGTGCCCATAGTCAAGCAGATGGCTAGGTGACGCACGCCGTTTTCACTTATTCTCATAAGACATTCACTTGGCTAGGAGATCACGCTCGGGACTCTAGCTCGATGCTTGGTCCAATGGGGAGTCCGCTTCTACTGCAGGTAGATGCATTTTCATTTATCTTCTTTTTTTATTTATTATTTATTTTTGTATTTTTTTTTTATGCTCTAACATTTGCTTAAGCTACCTTTTGTGCGTTTTCAACTTAACGAGCTTTGCTCTTTCTTTTTTTATTTTATTATTTTTTTTGAATGCACTTGCAGTTATGGGCTTTTGAAAAGCTTCAGGTGATGGACTCGCCATCGAATCATCTGATGTTTGATTAAAGGCCAAGAGTCTATGTACGATGCCACTGTC